CGAATAGTTAAATTTAATGCTTTGATAAATTTATCATAATTCTTAATGATCAATCGAGTAGGTTTTGAAAGTTTAATCGAAGAATTAATATCATACCATCTTTTTCTAAACGAACAAAAAAAACTATATTTTTAAAAAAAAAGAAAAAACTTGTTGTGATGTACTTGTATGAACTAATTTTATATGTAATATACGAAGAATTCATTTCAAGTTCAAATACCCATTTTCGTTTAATCCAAAATAATGAAGTAAATCTTTGAGAAGGTTCATAATCTATTGAACATCCAGATTCAGGATCAATATCTTGAACATATTCAACATAAAATTTTTTTAATTTAGGCAAATATTCTGAAATCAATTGTTCCCATCGATTATCATCAAGATAATCTCTATCATCAATATGAGTAATTCTCTTTCTCGTAGAGAAGAGTCCAGTAAACATAAATTGTCTGATTGCTTGCTTGCTTGCTTGTGTGTCCGCAGGGTCAAAAAAACATTCAAATTTAATTTTTCAGATACTTCCGGAAAACTTTGACTGGGGGGGGGGGTAGTCGAGGGCGGGGAACTTGAATCTGAGGTTAGTTTATTAAAATTAACTAGTTAACAATTAGTTAATAATCAATTAATAATTATTATTGTTATATGTTCGAGTAAAGTTTCACCGAAGGGTAATCGAGTGTGGAGAATCCGAATCTGAGGTTATTTTTAGTTAACAATCAATTAATAATTAGTTAATAATTAATATTATTAGTTTTTGAATTATTTTCAGAAAAGTTGGACCAAAGGGTAATCGAGTATGGAGAACTCGAACCTGAGATTGATTTATTAAAATTAATTAGTTAATAATCAGTTAATAATTGATATTATTAGTTTTTGAGAAAAGTTGAACCGAAAGGTAATCGAGTGCCAAGAATTCGAATGTGAGGTTAGTTTTAGTTAAAAATCAATTAATAATTAATTAATATTATTAATCTTAAAGATAGTTCCAAGAAAGTTTTACCAGAGGGTAATTCGAGAATCGATTTTTTAGAAATGACATTTTTGGGGCATTTCGATGCGGAGACTTCGATTCTGATGTTAGTTTTATAAAATAATTTTATGGATCACTTTTTTAAGGAGAGAACCAATTTTTATAAAAAAAATTTTCATAAGGGGTGACCGAAGGGTAAGTAGGGTGGAAGAACACAAATCTGGCGTTAATTTTTCCAAACTGTATAAGCAAAAAGTTTAGTATTGTAGAATAGGATTTCTACGAGAAAGAGCTGAGCGAGTCCGCAGACGAGCGTTACTTGATAATACGTAGGACTTCCAAATTACATTCCGTTTGTTTAATAAACATTTCAAATTTATCAAATGTAATAGTGCACAGTTCTATTGAAATATATGTTAAATTAATTAAACTAATTGGTAATATCATTTCATTGATTGAATCATTTTCAGATAAGTTCGTTATTTTCAGATGACGAACTTGAGGTGTATAAGATGTCAATATACATAGTTGGTCGATAGTACAATCATGATCAATAAAAAAATATTCAATAGAACTTAATTGTTTATTAGTAGCAGATGGTAGTGAAACACCTGCGGCACAGTCATGATCTGAATATTTAACATATTTTAATTTTGGTAACATAAAAATTAATCGATAAAATTTGCTTAAATTACT